ATTACAAACCTGGCCAGGCTCTGCCCGTGCAGTTCGTGCACGCCGGGGGGTGCACGTCACCCTAGTTTGGCCTCAACAGCCTCTTTGGGGCCTGCTCCGTGGCACGCGCCGAAGCAGGCATGTCTTTGGCAGCGGGGGCGGCCGAGCGCTGCGACGGAGCAGAGCCGCTAGCTGCTGAGCCCCTCTGCTGCGATAAAGCAGACACTTCATTAGGGGGCGCAGGCGGCGAGTAGCAGTCACCGCAAACCGTGCGCCCTACACCAGAAGGTGATCGAGCCGCGCGGGACACGAGTGCTGCACCACCCACAGTCGAACCTCCAATTCGTCTAATGTACAAGGGTTAGTGGGTGGCCCGCAGAGCACGTGGCTTCCCCTGCGCGGGGCTTGGCCCGAGGATCCCTGCTGCGCTCTTTGGCGCGGCGGGCCTCTACCAGACGCGTCGGCGGCGGGCCAGCAGGAGGACGAGCCATTGCTTCCTGCTTACCAGGCCGAGGCGACGGTGAAGAAGCGACTCGACGGCGCTTCACCTCCTCGAAGGCTTCTTGGGCGCGCAGCCCTTCCTTAGCTGACTTCACGAAACGGCCAGGTTCCTCACTGGGCGACAGTGAACCACCGACGCCGTGGGAGGCCGAGCCTCCGCTGGGAGGGGGCGAGCTACTCGGCGAAGAGACTGGCCTGGAGCGGCGAATGCGGGCGCGAGAAATGGTGCGATCTCAAGCACCCATTGCCCCACTGGACTCAGACCGCGCTCCGGGCCAAACAAGAGGAGGGCGAACTTCAAATTGGCACCTGATTTAGCAGCAATGCCAGCCGCGGTAGCACGCATAAACTCAAGCACCCTGTCGACGCACCCAACCCCTGCGCAATGCGGGGCATGAGTAGCTTGGGAGACGTTATACGGAGGTGATGACGTGACATGGGCGCATATACTTCCGCGAGCTGCATAGGAGAGGGGCGCAGCCAAGGATTGCGATGTCTCGCTCAGATATGCCTGGTGCCTCGCTCCGCTGCACCCGCCGCCAGCCTTCGAAAGTTGCGACAATTTCGCAGATCGCAGCCCCCCCCAGGAGACCCCCCCCCCCAGGACGCGAGGTCCCGCTCGGGTCCGCGGCGTCCGCAACCCCGCTGGACGCACCGCAGCCCTCGAACAGCAGGGAACATTTTCGCTGAACGCATAGCCCCCCCCGCACCGGCGAGGTCCCGCTCAGGCCCGCGCGGTACCTTGCTCCGCAGGACCCACCAGCAGCCCTCGAAAGTGGCGACGGTTTCGCAGATCGCAGCCCCCCCAGGGACGGCGAGGTCCCGCTCAGATCTGCGCGGTGCCTCACTCCGCTGGACCCACCAGCAGCCCTCGAAAGTGACGAAAGTTTCGCAGATCGCAGCCCCCCTAAGGACGGCGAGGTCCCGCTCAGATCTGCGCAGTGCCTCGCTCCGCTGGACCCGCCAGCAGCCTTCGAACGTGGCGACAGTTCCGCAGATCGCAGCGTCTGGGGCGCCCCCCCCCCCCCCAAGCACTCATCGGAAGTGCGACACTTCCGCAATCGCAAAAAAGCCATCCACAAGACGTGCGAGGTCCCCGACGGCCCGCCGCGGCGCGCCTCAACTCAGCAGAACCCACAATCAGCCCTCGCAAGGGCGAACAACTTCGCATAATCGCAATCGCTGCAGCCCCCCAGCACGACGAGGTCACGCTCAATCCGCGCGGTGCCTCACTACCTCACCGCGGACCCGCAGTGCCCTCGAAAGTGGCGACCAACTTCCCGTGATATCACAAACAGCCCCCCAGGGACGGCGAGGCCCCGCTCAGATCTGCGCGGCGCCTCACCCCGCAGGACCCACCATCAGCCCTCGAAAGGTGGCGACAGGCTCGCGGATCGCAACCCCCAAGGAACGGCGAGGTCCCGCTCAGATCCGCGCGGCGCCTCACCCCGCAGGACCCACCAGCAGCCATCGAAAGTGACGACAGTCTCACAGATCGCAGCCACCCAGGGACGGCTAGATCCCGCTCAGGTCCGCGCGGTGCCCCAACCCGCAGGGCCCACCAGCAGCCCCGAATGTGGCGACAGTTCCGCAGGTCGCAGCCCCCCAGGGACGGCGAGGTCTCGCCCGGATCCACGCGGTGACCACTCCACAGGACCCGCCAGCAGCCCTCGAAAATGGCAACAATTTCGCAGATGCAACCCCCAGGGACGGCGAGGCCCCGCTCAGATCCGCGCGGCGCCTCACTCCGCTGGACCCACCAGCAGCCCTCGAAAGCTGCGACGGCTTCGCAGATCGTCGCCCCCCCAGGGACGGCGAGGTCCCGCTCAGGTCCGCGCTGTGCCTCCCTCCGATGGACCCACCAGCAGCGCGACAGTTTCGCAGATCTTAGCCCCCCCCCCAGGGTCGGCGAGGCCCCGCTCAGGTCTGCGCGGTGCCTCGCTCCGCTGGACCACCATCAGCCCTCGAAAGTAGCGACAAGTTCGCGGATCGCAGCCCCCCAGGGACGGCGAGGTCCCGCTCGGATCCGCGCGGCGCCTCACTCCGCAGGACCCACCAGCAGCCCTCGAAAAGGACGACAATTTCGCAGATCGCAGCCCCCCAGGGACGGCGAGGTCCCGCTCAGATCCGCGCGGCGCCTAACTCCGCAGGACCCACCAGCAGCCCTCGAAAGTGGCGACAGTTTCGCAGATCGCAGCCCCCATCGTCGGCGAAAACAGGGCAGGTGGAGGCGGGGGGCGGGAGAAGGGACGCGACCACAGTGCTCCATTCAAAACGAATACCCAACCAATGAGGGTTGGGAATTACGCCTGGCTTCACGATTGGCTGCTCAGGGTAGCCGATCGAAAGACAGAGACGCGACCCAGCAGGAACGACAACGCCATGCTCCAACCGTAGCCTGTCGGGCGGGCCAAGAGCCTCGCCGAGGTCGCCAGGCGGCGGCGGGAAGAATGGGAACATTCCAACAGCCTTGTTGAACAAATCTGGGTGTACATGGCGGCCGACTGCATTGCATGCTGCCTGAACTGCCGCGCCACCTGCATCGCATGGAAAGGATTGCCAGGCGGCCGCCCGCTGAGGCACAATAACATGAATACGGTGTACAGGCCGCGGCACGCCCAAGTCGCGGAGCTCACGATGGGCGCCTTGTTGTTGATCGTCACCGTCACGACGCCGACGGCAGTCACGATCTTGTCCGTCACCTTGTTCTTGAGGAGGTACTTGAGCTCTGGAGCCCCTGGCGCACCCAGCAGGCCTGGCGGCAGATCCATCATCACGACCCCAGGATGCAGAAGCGGGGCAGGGAAGGCGACGCTGTCCAGCACCACATCCTGCCCGAAGCCGAAGAAGCACAGCAAGAAGGCTAGCCACGAGAGCCGAAGATGGAGGCGGTGTAGCGAGACGGGTAGGCAAATGAACGCGAGGACCACGTACACCTAAGTGCTGACACCGCAACACACCAAAGACTGCCGTACATGAATACGGAGAACGAGAAGTGGTGAAGCGTTCCTCGCAGAACGTTGCCGATGAATTGTGCTCAACGATCACCTTCGAGTCGACCACCAGGAAGAGCGCGAAAGCAATGAGCACAGACATGACTAGCGTGCGGCAGAGGAGCACACCCACCAAGCGGGACGGGCGGAGTCCGTAGCGCCCAGTGACCGAGCACCTCTGCATTCGCCTCGGATGAGGCGCTCAAGAAAGCACAGCGGAACGCTGGTCCAGCCCAGGGGCACCCTGGACCCAGCAACGGCTTGGGCCAGAGTGGTTCTTGAGCTGAAATGGCTTGAACCAAAATGGCTACGGACGGAGGTGGAGGAGGAGGGGGAGGAGGAGGAGGAGGAGGAGGAGGAGGAGGAGGAGGAGGAGGAGGAGGAGGAGGAGGAGTTGGAGGAGGAAGAGGAGGAGAAGGAGTTGGAGGAGGAGGAGGAGGAGGAGGAGGAGGAAAGGGAGGAGGAGGAGGAGGGAGGAGGAAGAAGAGGAGGCGCCAGGGCTCGAAGATACCCCGCACATCCACCGCCCGCCTGCCGAGCGAGGTCCCCGAGGGTCGACGCCCCCCCCCCCTCGGCGACCGCCGCGCGCTAACGCTCGCTCGGTGCGCGCCCTCGTGCGCCCAACCAGGGGGGGGGGGGGACCGGGAGGCACTGGTGCCGCGAAGCCGGGGGGGGGGAGGGCTCTCCCGAAGGAGCGCTGAGCACGGAGCGGAGGGGCTGCGCGTCCTGGGGGGGGGGACTGGCGACCCCAAGCGGGGGGGGCGCGGGGACCGGAAGGCACGGATGCCGCGCAGCGGGGGGGGGAGGGCCCCCCGAAGGAGCGCTGAGCACGGAGCGGAGGGGCTGCGCGTCCTGGGGGGGGGGACTGGCGACCCCAAGCGGGGGGGGCGCGGGGACCGGAAGGCACGGATGCCGCGCAGCGGGGTGGGGAGGGCCCCCCGAAGGAGCGCTGAGCACGGAGCGGAGGGGCTGCGCGTCCTGGGGGGGAGGGGAATGGCGACCCCCCAAGCCTCGGGGGGGAGGCACGGATGCCTCTCCCTCTCTCTCCCTCTCGCTCCTCAGCTCGCCGCTTTCCCGCCTGTTTCGGATCTGTCCCTGGCCCGCTCTTCGTTGTCCGCCCGGCCTGCGGTCCGAAGAAGAGATACGTTGGCTAGGAGTGGCACCTTCGTCATGAGAAAGATGGCCCAGCGCTGCGCGCTCCAGGGCTGAGAAAAAAGAAGCCGGGGGGGGCCTCCCGAAGGAGCGCCGAGCACGGAGCGGAGGGGCTGCGCTTCACGGGGGCGGGGGGGGGGGAAGTGGCGACCCCCCGAGCCCAGGCCCTGCGGGGTCTCGAATCTCGCCTGGACCACGGGACTGGAAGCCGAGCTCTGGGCCAGACGAAGGGGGGGCGTGCATCCTCGACGGGGAGGGGCGCGCCCAGGCAGGTGGCCCCCGGCGAGGACCGCGCGGCCCGAGGGCCGCGCGGCCCGAGGCGCGAGGCCTGACGCGCTCGGCGCGCTCGTCGCGCTCGCCGGCCCGGGCCTCGCGGGGAGGGCCCGCCCAGGGGGCGCCCGGTGGGCGCGCCTTGTCCGACCGGCCACAACTGGGGGAGCTGTGGTCCTTGCCCCCTCTGGGGGAGCCCATCGCCTCGACGAGCCCTCGAGAGGGGCGCCGAAATCGATGGGTCCCCCAGGGGGGCCAGGACCACGGCTCCCCCAGTTGTGGCGCTGGCCTGCCTGTGCGGCCGCCGGGATCGGTCGGCAGCGGATCGGCACGTCGGGCCCGCTCGGCGTGCGCAGCGGGTCGGGCCGGCACGAAGCGCATCGCGGCGGCGCCAGGGCGCGCGGCGGCACCGTGCAGACAGCGGGGCCGCAGCGGGCCGGCAGGGGCGTCGGGATCGAAGCTCGGATCGGGCCGCCCGGCAGCGATCGATCGAAGCGGGCCGAGCGGAGCGGAGGGGGCCCTGCAGGCTGGACCCACAGTCGGCAGAGCATGGAGCGCACGCCAGAGCTTGCATTACCAGCCTGGAGCATATCCCTATCCCTGTGCTGGGCACCTCCTCACCACGATGCCAACCTTAGGGATTCCCTTATTGTCATCGCCTCTTGGCGTGCCAGTCTTAGGGATAGGGATACGTTCGAGGCTGGCAATTGCACGGCTGCACACGGTGGCGTGCCTCCGAAGATCCCGGTCCGCCGCAGCAGCTCCGCAGCAGCTCCGCGCAGCGGGAGGAGCCGCTCGGCTCCCCGTTGCCGCTCCGGCGGCCCGGCCCGCAGTGCCTCTTCACACCCTCTGCGAGGCCTGAGGATCCGCCACCGTGCCTCTGTGAAGGGGCACTGGGACACACAAATAAATACAAACAAATAAAAGATTCCCCATGTTTTCCCACATTTTCTGGGTTTCTGTCTTCCCCCTCACTTCCCATATTTCCCATACTTTCCTGGGAATCGACGATTAATTGTGTCTGTGTTTTTTCCCCTCCTGACTCTGGGCGCAGAGTGGGCGTGTCCTCAGGTCCTGTGCCTCATCCCCGGAGCCTCAATCCTCGATGACAAGGGTTTGTAAGGGGCCCCGACCCCGATTTGCCAAATCTTCTTAGGCTTGTCGCGGCTTGTCCGGAGCTTCCCGCATCTTGTCGAATGATTTGTTCGGGACCAAGAGGGCTCCAAGAGACCCCGAAGACGGTCCAAGAGGGCCCCGAGTCGCCGAACGATCGCTGGAAGACGCTCAGGATAGCCCCCAGACGGCCCAAGAGGCCTCCAAGACGCCCCCAAGAGGCCTCCAAGAGGCTTCCCATGAGGGCCCCAACAGGTCCAAATCAGTGATCCTCCTTAAGTGTTTGAAGGTTCTTGGTTTTCTCGCTTTGTCGGCTTCTCAACACTCCCAAAGGCCCCAGAGGCCCAAAGATCGCCCCAAAACGGCCCAAGAGGCCTCCCAGAGGGCTTCAAAACGGCCTCAGAGGGCCACAAGACGGCCCAAGAACCAAACGCGGATGGCCTGAACAAACATTTCGAGCCCTCGGCCCGAGGTGCCCCAAGGAGGCCCCAAGGGGGCCCCAAGAGGCCCCCAAGAGGCCCCCAAGAGGCCCCCAAGAGGCCCCCAAGAGGCCCCCAAGAGGCTCCCCAGGAGGCTCCCAAGAGGCCCCAAAGAGGCACCCGAGGGAGCTCCGAAGAGACCCCGAAAGGCATTCCTGAAAACTCTGCCCCACAACCCAGGCACAGTGGCGGGATAGGCCGAAGGCTATTAGATCCGCCGCCCCCTGTTGGCTTGCCACAGGGGTGCCCGGCGTGCTGGACTTCTTACGCTCTTGGTTTTTTGTTCTTTTCCAATAGGGAACTCCCCCTGGGGCTTCGACCCAGCGCCGGCCACACGAAAGAGACCATAAACGAGCACAACGTCCACAAACAAGTATCCAAGACGGTCAAGATGGCCTCTAAGATGGTCACGTTAGCCCAAGGTGGCCTCCAAGATGGCCCAAGATGGTCCAAAATGGCCTCCAAGACGGCCTAAGAGAGTACAAGATGCCTCCAAGTTCGCCCGAGAAGCCTCCAAGACGGCCCAAGCTGGCTCCAGGATGGCCCAAGACGCTCCGAGACTCCCCCAAGAGGCCTCCAATACGGCCCAAGAGGCCTCCAAGAGGTCCTCCAAAAAGGCCCGAAGAGGCAAATTATGGATTTCCGGAAAGGATTTGGGCATTTGCTTCTTGTCGGCCTTCCGAGAGAGGCCCCCAAGAGCCCCCAAGATCGCCCCAAGATCGCCCAAGAGGCCTGGCCCCAGAACGGCCCAAGAGGCTCCCCGAGACGACCTCAAAAGGGCACCACGAGGGCCCAAAGAGGCCTCCGAGACGCCCAAGATGGCCTCCAAGGCGGCCCTGGAGCACCCCAGGAGGGGCCCAAGTCGGCCCAGAGAGTCAAGACGGATTCCGACGGCGTCAGACGGGCCAGGAGCCCATCAAGACGGCCCAAGATGGCTCTGAGATCGCCCATGACGGCCAGAGAGGCCCCCAAGAGGTCTCCAAGATGGGCCAAGAGGCCCCCAAGAGGGCCTCAAGAAAGGCCCGAAGAGGCAAAGATCATGGATGTTCCGTCGGTTTTCCAAAGCTTGGGCCGAATGCTTCATTTCGTCCTTCCGACGGCCCGAGACGGCCCTAGAGCCTCCAAAGACCGCCCCAAGATCGGCCAGGAGGCCTCCAAGGTGGTCCCAGAACAGCCCAAGAGCCCCCCCAGCCTCAAGGAGCCCCAAGACGGCCCAGAAGGCATCCAAGACGCCCAAGATGGCCCCCAAGACGGCCCTGGAGCACCCCAAGAGAGCCCGAAATCGACACAAAGAGGCCCCCAAGACGGCTTCCGACGGCGTCAGATGGGCCAGGAGGCAACCAAGACGGCCCAAAATGGCTATCAGATGGACCAAGACGGCCAGAGAGGCCCCCAAGAGGTCTCCAAGACGGCCCAGGAGGCCCCCAAGAGGGCTTCCAGAAAGGCCCGAAGAGGCCAAAATCATTGACTTCTGAGGTGTTTAAAAGATTTTGGTATGTGCTTCTTGTCGGCGTCCCGATGGCCCCAGACGGCCCAGGAGCCCCTGAAGATCGCCCCAAGATCGCCCAGCAGACCTCCAAAATGGCCCCAGAACTGCCCACGAGGCCCCCAATACAGCCCCAAGAGGGCCCCAAGAGCGCCACAAGACGGCCCAAGAGGCCTCCAAGGCGCCCAAGATGCCCTCCAAGACGCCTGGAACACGCCAAGATGGCCCCGAGTCGGTTCCGACGGCGTCAGGCGGGCCAGAAATACCCTTAGATGGCAAAGAGGCCCCCGAGAAGCCCCACAAGCCCCCCAAGAGGCCGAAGGAGGCCCCCACGATGCCTCCAAGAGGCGCCGAGGAAGCTCACATGAGGCCCCAGGAGTGCCCCCAGAGACTCCCAAGATGCACCCTCCTTTGTCCTCCTCCTCCTCCTCCTCCTCCTCCTCCTCCTCCTCCTCCTCCTCCTGATCTTCCCCGCCATCCTCCCCGAAGTGTTCCCCGAATGGTTTCCACGATGGCTGGGGGGGGCACATGGTCCGATAGCTTGGCAGAGCTCTTGCCACAACGCTCGGCCACATGGGCGATACCAAAAGGCAGGGGGCGGCGGTGATTCGCCGTAGGCGTCTTCGATACATACGAAGCCAGGGGATACAAAGCCAGATGCTTGCCTGAATCACGTCGCTGCTGCTGAAGGCCCTTCAGAGAGCGATCGGAGCACGACAAGAGCGATAGGACATGCCGAGCCTGAGACTGCCAGGCTGCACGGAAGTTGGAAACTACCGCTGATCATCAAGATGCAGATGCTGTCCGTCCAGTTGGAGCAGCTGTATCTGCAGACTTTCCTGGAGATCCAAGAGCGCCCTTGACGGCCTGCGCGATCAGAGCTGGCACGTGATACATGAGCGCACGCTTGGTGACCACGATCTCCTCAATCTCTTCGGGCTCGATCCACATGGCATCCCAAGAGATGGGAGGCTTCCAAATCCCGCAAGTGGGCCAACCTGTCGAGCGCTGAGTTGGACGCACCAACATTAACTTGCCAGGGCATCTAGTCGGATCTGCCCAGTAGTCGTCACGTTCGTGTTTAGTTGCTATTCTACTCGAAAACTTGTGAAGTGGATGATGATCCGCTGCAGTCTGAACATCCTCAGAGCTCAAATGGGCCAACAGCATCTCTGAGAGAGTGTTTTGAGGGCGTAGGCGACAGGCAGTCGAATCCGACCGTTGTGTAGGCGTCTTGTCAATGCCATCATTCTCGCAGTGTGAGCGGCACATGCACATTCCGATTGCCATGCCAAGCTTTGATGTGTTGCAAGCGGCAAGTTCTAGAACAATCCGCTCGCGTAAGTATTGGATGCTCCGGATACTAATTCTTGGAGCCCAGTCATGAGCATGAATGATCGAGACCCCACCCATTTCCTTGACTTTGTCGGCAAGATCAGGGGACATCGTCGCTCCTGGAGGCTCGAAGCCGATGTACCTCACACAGTCACCGAGGTCCTTACGCAGCTCGAGCGCCAGCAGGGCAGCGACACCAGCGCCCATGGAATGACCAGTGCAAATAATGTGGCGACTGCAGCACGCGTCCCCAGCAAGCCTCGTCTTTACAAGATCCCATTCTTTCTTAACATACCTCACGATTCTTAGCATCCCAGCATGCGCACCGTGGCACTTCTCTCTATCTGGTGCATGTGGCTCGACGTCCTCGAGGTGGGCATCAAGGTCAGCGACGAGATCTTTGCCGCTAAAAGTACCGCGAACAGTGATGACGACGGCATTGATCGGCCTGCAGACTAGCACTGCCATTGGAACAGCATGAAACTCAGTTTGCTCATCGTCTGTTTCATTCCAGGAAGCGTGCAAGATGTCTACGTGATCAAGGAGACCAGCTTGCCTCAGCTCCTCCTTGAAAGCCCATGTATGAAGAGGCCACTTGCGCTTGGTATGCTCTTTGACACACCACCATTCGAAACAACCTCGGCAAGGACAAGCTCGGCAGATGTCAACGATCATTCTGCACAGCTCGCAGAAATTGCAGCTCACAATATCTCGTACCAAGGCCTGGCAAAAATACAACACCCATCCATAGACGTTGAAAGCAATCGGCATCACCGTAAGAATATCCCTGATCAGATCCTTGTCCTCATCAAGATTCACAGGAACACCTGCGGGTGGCCCGTTCTTCCGCATTAATCGCTGTCGTCGACCAACCAGCCATAAGCCGAAAGCTATGTCTGATGGAACCAGGTCGACCTCATCATGCACCTGCATGAGAAGCTTGTTCAAGTCGCTTCTGAAAGACTTCCCGCCAAACAAGCGTTGTACGCAAGCCATGATCCGGCCCAAGACTTCGCCGCTGCCAAAAAACAACGACGTCGGTGCCAAGACCAGGAAAAGCGTGTGGCATACAACTTCTGTGACGATCACACATCGACATGTCGAATCAGCGATGAGTGGCAAGTCGCCTCCGCACAACCAAGGAATGCTAATGATGATCCGCCAGCCACAAGGGGCCAAAGGCGGGCTGGAATCTCTGGCAGCGCGTACCCAATCAAGATCACCCCAAGTATGCACCTGGCAGGAGAGCCCAACATCGTATCGAGAAATCGGATCGGCGATCGAGATGCGTCGGATCGGCGGAAATCGGCAGCCGAATCGGGAAAAGCTGAACAAGCGGACATCGCCAGGCAAGAATGCCTCCGTGAAGAAACCGGAACCCACACCAGAATCGGAAGCCATCGAAGTCGAATCGAATCGAATCGGGGGAGTCGACATGAGCCCTAGGGTGACTACCTACCAGACCACCCCAACCCAACCCGAAGGCCTGAATTTGACACGAATTTCGGGTTGGGGGGGGTGCGAGTTCCATGTGTTTTTTCAATATTCCCCGACCCCCCCCACTGGAAGTGGAGGACAAATTGAGGCCTTCGGGTTTGGTTGGGGTAGTTTGGTGGGTGGCGATGGCTTGAGCAGAGACCGACCGTCCTGGCATTCCTATAGTCCTACCACGAGATGTTCTTAAACCCAAAAATGTTCTAAGAACAACGTTCTTAGAACATAAGCCTCATGCGTTAAAACAAGACAGTCCCGGCCAGAAACGTTCCAAGAACATGTCGTGGAAACCACAAAAGTTTCTTCGAACATTGCTTGGTAGGGCTATAGGCACGCCAGGACGCTTCGCCACTGCTTGATGTACGGCCGGCGTGCTGCCACAAGGAGCGGTTTGAGAATCAGCTCACGTAGGTGATTTTCCCGGCGCCTCCCGGCGCCCGAGGCGGCCACGTATCGAGGAATGAGCCCCTCGGTGGCGCTGAAACCAGCTGCTTGCAGCAGGTTTCGTAACCCCCCCTTTCCCTATCCCCCCCTTCCGCTCGGCCCGAGAGGAGGGGGAGGGGGAGGGGGAGGGGGAGGAGGAGGAGGAGGAGGGAGGAGGGAGAGGAGGAGAGAGGAGGAGGAGGAGGAGGAGGAGGAGGAGGAGAGGAGGAGGAGGAGGAGGAGGAGGAGGAGGAGGAGGAGGAGGAGGAGGGAGCAGAGGAGGAGGAGGAGGAGGAGGAGGAGCAGAAGGAGGAGGAGGAGGAGGAGGAGGAGGGAGGAGGAGGAGGAGCAGGAGGAGGAGGAGGAGCAGGAGAGGAGGCCCCGAGATCGGGCTGGCGCTCGGGGGCGGGGCCCTCGGGGACCTGCACGGCCGGGCACGACGGGCCCCGCCCGGCCGCCGCGAGCCCCGGGCCGCGCCCGCGGGCGCGCGCCCCGCGGCCGCGGGGCCGGCGGAGCGGCTCGAGGGCCTCGGGCCGGGCGCAAGGTGACGAACCAACAACACACACCCATACCCATAGGGGGATCGGAGAGGGCTATGGGCGCTTGTTGTCGGATGGGGGTCCCCGCTCGAACGGGAGCGTTCCCCAGGGTCCGACAATTCGCACCCATGCCCATAGCCAGTCCTCCTCCCAACGACCCCCCTATTGGCATGGGTGCGTGTTGTCCGTTCGTCAAGGGGGGGGATAACCACGCCTCGGGCGAGAGCCGCGGGGTCGGGCTCGAGGAGCCTCGGGGTCGGGGCGGAGGGGCTCGAGAGCCTCGGGTCGGGTCGGGTCGATAGGGGGCCACCTGCGAGCCCTACGCCTACCCCCCACGATTTCTGAGGGGGAGGGTGGGGTTCACTTCGTTCGGGAGCTCCTGAGCGAAGTGAACCCCATCCTCCCCCTCAGAAATCGTGGGGGGTAGGGGTAGGGTTCGCAGGTGGCCCCCCAGTCGAGAGCCTCGGGTCGGGCGAGGGGGGGGTCGAGCATCAGCTCGCGCAGCTGAGTTTCCCGGCGCCTCCCGGCGCCCGAGGCGGCGATGTCTCGAGGCATGGGCCCCTCGGCGAGGCCGAAAGCAGCCGCACGCAGCAGATTTCGTACCCCCCCCTTTCCCAATCCGAGAGCCAGGCAGGACGAAGCCAGGACGGGGAGAACATCGGGTCGGGCATGTCCTCCTAGAAAGGGGGCTGCGGACGAAAACATGCTGTTACAAACAAGATCAAAAGAAAAACAGCACAACAAAACAAGCAACAAAGAAACGGAAAGTCGTCCCCAGACTGTCTTGAAAACTATGTTGGAATACTCCTCCTGTGGAGGGACACGCCCGATTTCAAGCCAGGAAGATGATACAATCGGGCGAGCACAAATCGAGAATCTCTGAGATCCGGAGGCTCCGGAGGATGTCTCGGTCGCCGCGGCCCTTCTCGAGAGCGTTCCGGAACGCTCTGCGAGCGTCCCAGAACGCTCTGGAACGGACGTATCCTCTCCTAGCCCCGCCCGGCCAGGGCCCATCAAGAGCCCCAAGCGGTCGTCAGTTCAGCGTGCTGACTGCAGGAGGGAGCTACCCACCACAAACTTGGCCCGTCTCACTGGTGGGATGCCGGAACTCCTAGAGGTAGCCTGCGAGCTGCCAAGCGTCCGCCGACGCTGCCAATCGAGGTGTTGGACCCCCCAGGATGGCCTAAGATGGCCCCGAACTGACACCAAAAAAACCCAAAATGACCTCCAACGCTAAATAAGGAATGAAGGGACGGCACGAAAACCAGAGCCCCTCAAGAGTCCCAACCGGTCTTTCTTTCCGCGTGCCGACGGCAGGACGGAAGGCGCCCGGCAAAAGACGGGCCCGTCGCCCTGGTGGGATGCCGGCACCCCCGGGCGCGGCCTGCGAGCTGCCGAGCGGCCGCCAAGGCTGCGAACCGAGGTGTTGGAGCGGAGCGCCCACGATGGCTCCAATAGGACGCAGAGGGACGTGCCCAGTACCGGGCGCCATCCTCACGGGCGCACGACCGATCCGAACACAGTGCAAACATGTTATCGCATATCGTTCCCCAGGCGGTGCGGCCAAGATTTCTCAGCGCGTGCGTCGCCTTCTGGGGGGTGCAGACGATCACATAGTATGATGTTGTTTGAGTGATGCCGACGAAATGGCGCCAACATTAATCTGAACCGCCCGAATGACCTACAAAATGACACGTTAAAATACCGTTTCGCCGTTTCGAGGCCGATGTACGTGTGAGGCCTCAAGAGGCCTCCGATATGGCCCAAGAGAACCCTAAAGGATGCCAAATGGGGTTCCAAGACGGGCCCAAGTCCGCCCAACTGGCATTATAGTTAGGCTTGGGGCGGGCGGGGCTGGCTGGGACCTGTCCTTCTCTGATCGATGTTTTCCTAGATGGTGGCAGAGGGATTTCCATGTCCACCAAGAGGATTCCCAAGATGGCCCGAAGATGCTTCCAAGAGAGACCCCACGTACTTCCAACATCGCCCCTAGACCCCAAGATATTTTAAGTACGCTGCTCATGGGCACCCATCTCGAAAGATCCGAGAAGGTATGTATTGTGGACTCCTGGGTTTGCTCAGGCTGATCCCGAGCTTCGGTCTGACGGCGGCCTCCTTCTCTGCTACACTGGTTGTTACACTTCCGTGGCCAATGCAACTCGCTGGTGGGGATTTGTTGATCGCGAGCGCAAACGGAAAGGCCGCGCGCCGTCCAGGGCAACCGCTAACCAGCAGCGGCCTAAATTGCACACTAGAGAAAGGAGAAGAGAGACAACAAGAGAACAGCGGGAGGTGAGACAAGCCGGGGCAGGCCGCGCGGCGCTCACGGAGGGGGCGCCATCGGCAGCTGCAGCCGCCGGGGGTGCACGCCAAAATGGCGGGCAATTGGTTTGCAGGGTGGTGTCCCGAGACGGCGGCGAAGGGCAGCCCCGTGGGGGATAGCGGGCCGCAAGCACCCGCGCCGGCACGGGGGGCAGCACGCGGGGAGCTGAGGGCGGCAGGGGCTGTGCATCCCTGAATGGGGATCAAGCCTTTCGGGTGCGTCGAAGCCCATGGGGGTGGCGCGGCGGAACGAGTGAGCGGCGACTGGACAGCAGCGCGCGCCGCGGGACAGGCACGCCATACGCAGACTGAAGGCAGTCGGCCGCGCGGCGACACCAGTGAATCAGCCAGCTGGCATGCAGGCGCTCGGCGGACGGGAGTCCGGATCGCCAGGACCGGCAGGACGACGGAGGTGTCGGACCCCGCTCGGGAAGCAGATGGGAACGCCACCAGCGCGGCAGGGGCGAAGCGAGAGGCCGGCGAGCCCCGGGCGAGCGTCGGAAGGCCGCCGCAAGCCGCGAGCCAGTGGGCGGCTCCTCCTCCTCCTCCTCCTCCTCCTCCTCCTCCTCCTCCTCCTCCTCCTCCTCCTCCTCCTCCTCCTCCCTCCTCTCTCCTCCTCCTCCTCCTCCTCCTCCTCCTCCTCCTCCTCCTCCTCCTCCTCCTCCTCCCCTCCTCCTCCTCCTCCTCCTCCTCCTCCTCCTCCTCCTCCTCCTCCCCCTCTTCCCTCCTCCTCCTCCTCCTCCTCCTCCTCCTCCTCCTCCTCCTCCTCCGGCCCGCGCCCGCGGTGCGGCGGGAGGGAAAGAGAGGAGCCCAGGCGGCGCCTCTGTGCGGAGCAGAGGCCGCTGCTGGTGGGGATACGCTGAGCGTCTAGCGCTAGGAGTGTCATGATCGTTGCCTTCTTCTGTCGTCGGGCGTCGGCTGCGTACATTGGGCGGGGACGTGGGGACGTGCTCCGTCGAGCGTTAGCCTCAGTGTACACTGCTATTCCTTCCCCCCGCGCGATCTTCAGACGACTGATTTGGGGTAACAACTATCACTCAAAGGCCCACAATCGCCACTAGCACACGGGCAGATGGAACAGGTGATAGGATTAGGTCGGGCATGTCCTCCTACAGGCGGGTTCTGGACGATAACTAAGAAAACAAAAGTCCAACAATACCCCCCAAATTAATGAATAACAACTGTTTAAATGAAAAATCGTCCTCTGGTTTATATATGTATATATATATATATACATATACACATATATATATATATATATATATATGTATTAAACTATTCCGCTAGAAGGACAGGCCCGACTGAATGACAGGATGTGGGCCAGCGGAGCGCGCGAAGCGGTAGAATCACTGTGAGGAAGAGCCAGCACTTGAACCACAGGCGGAGGACGAGCAGCCACGGCACGGCCCTGCGCCGCTCCACCTCCATCACGGTGCCCCGGCTGGAGACCGCGAAGATGGCGGCGTCCGACAGCACCACCGCGAGGCAGCATGCGGCGTTCGCGTCGACCGACTCCAGCTCGAGGTACGAGAAGGAGCCGGCCCCCTGCTAGGGGGCCACATGCGAACCCTACCCCTGCCCCCCACGATTTCTGAGGGGGAGGGTGGGCCGCACCTCGCTCGGGAGCTCCTGAGCGATGTGAACCCCGCCCTCCCCATCAGAGATCGTTGGGGGGAGGGGTAGGGATCGCATGTGGCCCCCTACCTGCCGAAACCTGCGGCGGCACAGGAGCAGCACCGCCCACGTGAGGTGCAGGGCGGCGGAGAACGGGCTGGTTGGCAGGCCCAGAGATTGACACCAACACTAAAGTCGGCGGTGTGCCTCCACCGAGGGAAGAAGATCCCGATCTCGGCGATGGTGGTAATATTCTGGCTTCAAAGGTGACCGAAATGTTGCCACCAACTCCGAAATCTAGGATCATCTTCCCCATGTGGAGGCAACCCCCTGTGTTGGTGTTGGTGCCAATTTCTAGGTCTCCAACTGGTGAGGCAGAGCTCGTCCGTGGCAAACGGCAGCGTGCGCCCGCGCAGCGTCGCGCCGGGCATGGCCGGGCGGGCCCCGGGGGGGCGGAGTGCGGAGGCCACGGCGGGGCAGGCGCGCGGCAGGGCTCGTGGGCCAGAGAGGGTCACAGGGGAGGGGCGAGGGCAGGGGGGGGAACAAGGGGCAGGAGGAGGGGGAGGGAGGAGAGGAGGAGGAGGAGGAGGAAGGAGGAAGGAGGAGGAAGGAGGAGGAGGAGGCGGAGGCAGCAGAAGGAAGACTGGGAGGGCAGAGGGAGGAAGGAGGACAGGAGGAGGAGAGGAGGAGGAGAGAGGGAGGCCAGAGGGAAGGAGGGGGAAGGAGGAAAAAGGGCTGGTGAGGAGGAAAAGGTGAAAAGAGAAGGATTGATCGTTATTTCGAACGTCGGGTTTGGGCCAAAGGACCCGAACGGCGCCATTCCCTCTCCCTCTCCGTCTCCTGCTGTCTCTGCCTCTCCCCAACTGTTCGGGCTTCAGTCTTTTTGGGCCCCCGGGAAGTGGCGCGGACGCATGTGAACCCCGCCACTGGGGCCTTCGGTGGAGCTTCCTATGGGGCCACGAAACGTGTTAGGAGTATGCCGAAATGGGATGATGGGATGATGGAATGATGATGACGACGACGATGACGACGATGATGATGATGATGATGATGGTGATGATGATGATGATGATGATGATGATGACGATGATGATGACGATGATGATGACGATGATCATGTTGATGACGATAATGACGACGATGACGATCACGATGACGATGACGATGACGATGACGACGACGATGATGACGATGATGACGATCATGATGATGATGGATGATGAGGATGGTGATGATGCTGATGATGATGCTGCTGATGATGGTGATGACGATGATGAGGATGAGGATGAGGATGAGGATGATGATGATGATAATGATGATGATGGTGGTGGCGGTGGTGATGATGATGATGATCATGATCATGATGATGGTGATGGTGATGGTGATGGTGATGGTGATGGTGATGGTGATGGTGATGATGATGATGATGATGATGATGATGATGATGATGATGATGATGATGATGATGATGGGAGGAGAGAGGAGGGGGAAGGAAGGAAGGAGTTGACGCGGGGCGCTGTCCCTTCAAAACGAGGACCTAACACCACAAGATGGTTCGGAAAAACAACGTTGAGACAGAAACTTGTTCGGCGCCCCGCCGGTTGGCCCTATCCACAGATAGCTTGATCCGCAAATCACCGCCTTGTTCAACGACGCCTCGCCCGTAGCTTCCACGGGGTGCATAGTCTATGCGTTCGCGTGGGCGGGGGTCGGGGTCGGGCAAAGGATGGTTCAATTTGGGCCTTGTAAACTGTTCCTGGGCTAGGTCCATACATCTGTTCCCATTTCCTCATTTCGCGAGCCCTGTAAACTCGTTGGGGGCTAACATGCTGTGCGCTCTGGCCATGTAAACGTTTTCGTGCCCCTGCCCCGAATGCCCCCAGGGCCATTCATGGCCGGGCCTGCGCGGTGCGAACACACGACAAAGAACGCGGGTCTCGACCGAAAAATCGCACACACACACACACACACACACACACACACACACACACACACACACACACACACACACACACACACGTTTTGCTGAAAACTCCATGCTCCACGCTCGCGAACCTGCCGCGAAGAATGTCAGCCGTGCCGTGCGCGGTGGCGCGAAGACAATCTCATGGTGATGCTCGCTCGCGAACCTGCCGCGAAGAATGTCAGCCGTGCCGTGCGCGGTGACGCGAAGACAATCTCATGGTCATACTCATGTCCCCAGGGTGCCCTCCAAGCTGCACCCGGGGGGGGGGGGGCGCTCTTCTCGTGCGGGGTGATCTTGGTCCCCACGAGGTCCATCTGCTCTGAGCAGGCCCTGACGGGGCGGCGCCAGGGAAAACTAGCAGCGACGAGGTGGAGGACAACGATGAGTGAGGATGGGGGGAGAGAGGGAGGAGGGAGGAGGGAGGAGGGAGGAGGGAGGAGGAGGAGGAGGAGGAGGAGGAGGAGAGGAGGAGGGAGGAGGAGGAGGAGGGGGAGAGCGAGGACGACGAGAGGGCGTGAGAGGGATGAAGGGAGTGAGCGAGGGAGGGGCGGGCGGACTGGGGGAGAAGGGAGACACGACGGAGGAGGCAGGAGGGAAGAGCCAGACGGCCCCACGCGAAACGCACCCCCGACACGACACGGAAGAGCCTGCCACGTGCCGCACGGGAACGCCTCCCTCGGGCCGGCGGGGCGCGAGGCGCCGCTCGCGCCGAGGGCCCCCCGTGCGCCCCAGGAGCGCTCGACACCCCAGGCGCCGGGCGGGCACGGCGGCGGACCCTGCGGCGGGCAGCTGGATAACTATGAAGGGGCCCCAGGACACACAAATAAATAGACACAAATAAAAAGATTCCCCATATTTTTTCATATTTTCTGGGTTTCTGTCTTCCCCCCCACTTCCCATATTTTCGCATATTTTCTGGGAATCGACGAATGATTGTGTCTGTGTGTTTTTCCCCCCCTTGAAACTAGAGGGGGCGAAGGGGGAGCCGCCTCTGGCCCAGCGCCGGCCCCTGGCCACGATCTCGGGCTCCCCGACCTGCACACCCGGGGCAGCGGCGCCCGGGCACAGGGGGCCCCTCCCCCGGGGAGCCAAGCACTGCATCGACAGAGCTTCTCTTCGAGGTCTACACGGACGTCCCGGGTCGGCGCCGGACCCCCTCCCTGGCGCGCGGAGCGCGCCAGAGGCGGCGCCAGAGGCGGCGCCAGTGGGGGCTCAAGACCGATCCAGGAGGTCCGCGCGAAGATCCGAGGAGGCATGTTTCTGCAACGCCTTGTTCAGGGAGAGGCCCGGAAGCGAACCGGGGCCCACCCCGACCCCAGACTCGTCTTCGCTTCGGCGCCTTGGGCTGCAGGCTTCCACTGGTGCCAGCACCGCCTCTTCGCGGCACGGCCCTGGCCCGCCTGCCTGCCCGCTGGCACGGCGGGCTCGGCGATCTGCCCCTCGTGGGCACGACTCGGCCTGGCTGGGCAGCCCCGTGGCCGAGACCGTCAGCTGCCCGAACGGGGGGGGGACGCCGAGTGCTCCGGCAGGAGAGGCTCGCCGCACAGAGGCCTCCCCGTGCATCGACGACGCCGGCACGGCGAGAGTCGGATCGGCGAGGCGGCGCGATCCTCCGGCCCCCATCAACTCCAGCTCCATCTAAGGGCCCCAGGCCACAGGTACCCTCAGAGGGCAGAGGAACCACCTCCACGACACCAAGGCCCCTGCTCAGGAAACTCGGGGGCGTCTAAGGGGGTGGCGTCCAAGAGGGGGCTGCGCAACGCATGGGGCGGGCATGTGCGCGGCCGATGGGAGGGGGGCCAGGGGACGTATTGAAATAGGAAGGGGTGCCATGAGATCTGGGGAGAGATCATTGCCCCAGCCACGGTAACCCCCCTTAGTCATCACCGCCTCTTGGCCGCAACCGAAAAACGCTCAGGACTGGTGAGCAAACGTCCTGTGGGCAGGGGTGCTCTTTCGTCCCTTGAGTCTTGCCCTTCCCCATTCTGGCTCCTGTCTGTCGGGGAGACGCAAGACTCGGGTTCGGGGGATTCGGGTTGGCTTCACGGGGCCGTCAGGAAAATGACGACCCGGGATCCTTCGACGAAATTTCGGGCGGAGGGGGACACCTGCACCTCTGGCACTGCAAGCAAGGCAACACCTTCTTCGACGGCTCGGGACTCGGAATCGTGGGTTCCCGTGCGCTCGAGTGCCTCGCCGCAGTGGAACAGTGCGTAAAATGGCATAGCATGGTAGCAGTGCGTGAACAATCGGATGTGGTAGCATGGCATAGCATTATATGGCATAGCATGGTCTGAAGATTAACGCGTAGCATGACATAACATGGCGTGGCGACGCCAAAAAATGAGGGGGGGGGCTTCGTCGGCGCAAAAAATCAAAGAATCGACACCGAATGTGGAATCACTTCCGATGGAGTCTTCGGGAGGTCATTTTTCTTTATTTTGGGACCTATTTGGAAGGATCGAAAACCATGCCGTGGCATGGCACTGGAAATAATGACGCCAACGCTGCAGCGGGAGCACGATTCGGAACGAGCGGAGAGCGGAAATGAGACCAACGCTGCAGCGGGAGCACGATTCGAAACGAGCGGTAGCCCGAAAATGAGGCCAGCGCTTCAGCGAAAGCCGCATTTTGAACAAAAACACAAGCGCGGAAGCGCGGAAATCAGGACGCGTAGCCTGACATAGCATGGCGTGGATACGCCCCAAAGCGGGGGTGCTTTTGCTGTCCAAAAAAAACAAAGAATCGGCACCGAATGTGGAATCACTTCCGATGGTTTTTCGGAAGGTCATGTTCCAGATTTTTGGACCTACGCAAAAAGATCTGGAAGGACCGAAAACCATGCCGTGGCATGGCACTGGAAATAATGACGCCAACGCTCAAGCGGGAGCACGGCTCGGAACGAGCGGTAGCCCGGAAAGAAGCCAGCGCTTCAGCGAGATCAGCATTTTGGATGTGTTGTGTTCTTTTATAGTCATGTGTATTGTTTACCTTGTTACTTATTTTGTTCAAAATTCTTGTTGGATATATACATATATACATATATACATATATATATGTATATATATACATATATGTTCGCATGGATTACGTTTCCCGGGGACCCGGTGCAAAAACAAGTACAAACGCCCACCGGGGGAGCGAGGAGACCAGCACTCAGACTGCCTAACCAAAGAGGGAGGAGCACGACGAGGAAAGGCGGGAACCTCTGGCCCGGGAGCGCGCTCGCCCCCACCTCGGGGCCCCTCCCTCGGCGCAGGGAGGCCCGCAGATGCCCCGCCGTCACCCGCGCGTGCTGCGCGAGAGGGCGGGCTGTCCGCGCCTGAAGAACATGGAGGCCTCCCAGCTGGGGTCCGAGCAGACGGGGTCGAAGGATCGCGGCGCATCGCCAATGCATCGTCGACGCATCGGCGACGCATCGGCGATGCATCGTCGACGTCGGCGTGCGGAAACACGGTCTCCGCATCGAGCCGCATCGTCGATGCATCGGCGATGCAGCGCGATCCACCGACCACGTCTGCTCCGACCCCACCTGGGAGGCCTAGAAGAACGCGAG